AGCACTTAGGTATGCTAGGCAGTATCCGGCCGAGAGGACCGAAAGGGAGGCCAGCACCCAGGTATGCTAAGCATTATCCGGTCGAGAGGACCGAAGGGGTAGGTTGGGCACCTAGATATGTCTGACAGTATATATATGTTATGTGATTGTATGGTATGCGGTACGATGGGGGAACTCACTAAGCTTTGTGCTTACAGTTTTCAGTTTTGTTTCAGGTACCTCTTCAGCAAGGGGGAAAGAACCGGCGCGGTAGTTGCACATCATTTACACACACATTGGATTTCCGCATTATGAGATTCTTGAGATTGTACTCTGACGTTGTTATATTTGTAGTTTGGTTTTCAGACATGAGATATTAGTTTTATGAAATGATATGTCTTCACTATGTTTTCTTATAGAAGTTTTATGAATCAATTAATTAAAAATGAAATTTTTGGACTCGAAATTTGGGATGCTACACTCATCTTCATTTCCGAAATGCTTAGACTCGATTTCCAGCTTTTCGATATGCTCTCTGATTTTAGTTGGTGTCATATCACGCAAGGAACCACCACTAGAAACATTTACCAGGCACCTCTCCATGGGTGTCAAGCCTTCACAAAAGCAATTATAAATTTGATAATCATTGATCCCATGTTATGGGCACCAATCCAGAAGCTTCTTGAATCTTTCCCAGTGAGTATGTAAAAACTCTCTTTTTTCCTTGTTTGATCCCAAAGATTTCTCTTCTAAGACTGTAAACTCGCATTTCTGGAAATTATTTCTCTAAAAAAAGCTTCGTGAGCTTGGTCCAAGTGGCGATGAACCATATGGGAGTTCATATAACCATTTCCCTTTGCCGAAACTTGAAGTAAAAAGCGAAATCCCCTTAACTTAATATGGTCTTCTGTAACAACATGTGGCTTCATTCCTAAACAAACAACATGAAATTCCTTGAGGAATTTATGTGGATCTTCATTTTCCAAACCTATGAATGTAAGAAGTTGATGAATCAACCTATATTTCAACTCAAAGTTCTGGGCATCCAGATAAGTAATGCAAAGGGGTTGCGGATTGACTTCTTAGGTGGCCTACTATCTAAGAGTCTTTTCTTCTTCGTCTCTACTCATTTCTGATTCTTCAAATTCAGATTTTGAAGAATTTGTGGGTTCAAATTTGCGGAAGAGGTGGGGAATATGTTTTATAAGGGATGTTTTGAGGAGAAGATGAGGGTACTTTCGGAATAAACGGATCTAATTCGTTCCACAAGGGAGTGCCTTGTGGTGTGGAGGTTTTTGGAGGTACTGAAGAAGATGAACCAAAGACACCAGTTAATCGTTTCTTTGTTATTGCTTCTTACTTCAGTTTCCTTGCAGTTCACTCAATTTCTCGATTAAAAGCTAGAGGTGTACCTGAATGAAAAATTATTGGCATAAAACTATTAGAAAGCACCGTGTGCCTGGCAATGGCGCCAATTTGTTTAGACCGATTGTCGTAGCTGATCTAAACAGATAAAATAATCACTGCTAGTTGCACTAAAAATATAGCACAGGGAAGCAGGGTCGAATCCTTAGGGACACAACATAATTGTAGAGTTCGAAATATGTTGTCAGGTGTCGAATTACATTTAGGCTTGATAAGTTTCGAAGTCTGTATTGTATATTCGATTGTATGTATTTCACAAGGCACATTTTAGAGTTCGAAGCTTACATGTCTAAGTCCTTATGTATTTTTTGTATGCTTTTGTTGTTCCTATAAATAGGGATAGCTATAGGAGTAAGAGTAATTTTTGTGCACTCTTGTGAACTTTACTCTTTCAGCTCGTGTACTCTTTTAGAAGCAATATCATAGTTAAATAGATCATGTTTGCATGATGTGTTCTTAATTCAATATGTACTCTGATTTCGTTTCATACACTCGATTCATACAAACTTCATTTGGTATCAGAGCAGGATTCTTTCAGTTGATTTATGATTTTCTCATGTTTCCAAAAGTTTTGAATTGCTATTTTCGATTCATAAACATTCCGCACTTTTAATTTAGAAAATCTTTTATAATCAACTGTTTTGATTCGATTCTACATTTCGTTTGAAAAATCGAGTGTTCTTTGATCTTTTTCTGAAATATTTATCCATTAGATTCCATTTTCTCAAGCTTTTCATTATCTTTTTCCGTACATCAATGGCGAACTTCAACATGTATATGATGACTGGTTTCTCTCACTTTTCGGTTCTTCAACTAGAATTTCGATGCTAATTCCTAAATATTACGAGCAATGGGTGGATAGAATGGAAGATTATCTCAATGAGATTGATGAAGATCTTTGGCGTTGTATTACGAGTGGAAACTATCGTCCAAGGAAGCTAGAACAGGTTACAACAGTTGGCTCGTCTACTGATGATAAATTGCAAGCAGAAAGACAAGAGGCAAGTGACAAGAAATGTTTGTATGAACTACGTGGTGCTCTTCCACCGGTGGTTTACAATTATGTATGTAGGTGCAAAGTCACTCTAGGATGTCATGTGTGCTTACTCCTTTGTATGTGTGTAATGGATGGTCTTTCCTTTATAGGAAGTGAGTGACACTCATTTTATGTACACTCTTTCTAGAAAGAGGATGATTACTACACTCCACTTTAATCTCACATCTTATCCCAGATTAAGACTACCCACTTATTCAACTTACTTCGAACTAAGCATCCTTTACAAGCCTTAGTTTACAACTACACAATATTACTATACATGTAATCAAATTCATATACAAATTTCCTACTTATGCACACTATAAGAAAAAGACCCTTTTACGATGCGCAAACCACGACACTCATTGATTTATGTTACGCAAATGAGAGTGACATTAAAAAAGTGTCATCTCTTCAAAAAATTTAAGGATTTAGGGCGTGCATTATTGAGTGCCCTTAAATTATTGTCATAAGAAAAAAAATTAAAAAGACGGAGGGAGCTGCATCTTAAATGCGCGACCTCTATGCGTGTCGCTTTATAATTTTAATGAACGCGCGTTTAGTAGGGGGGGGGGGGAAATTAAAACCCAAAAAAATCCTGCTTCTCACTCTCTCCTTCTCCTTTTCTCTACAAACCCTAATCCGCCTCCACCACTACTTTATCCTTAAGGAATAACACAACAAAGCTGGTATCTCAGATTAACTACTCCGGCATGGAGTTAACCCCAACACGTATAGTTGTTGCGGAAGATGGAGAAGGTCGAGAAGAAGATATCGAGGTTCTTACAGAGCCCTCTTCAGGCTCAAGTCCTTGCTGACGTGCATCATGTGAGATTCGAGAGCACCAAGTGGTTTGATCGACTCGAGGGCTCCGCTCAGAGGCTGGAGTAGCAGATCGGGTCCATGAAAATCGGAGGAGGCGGTGAAGGATGGTGCTTGGAGGAGGCGATGAATAAGATGCACAAGGAGAAATATGAGGGTGGTTTGGAAAATGTTGGAATGGAGCTGGGGAAGAGGAAAGTTAAAGGTATGCTTTGCTCCTAACTTAATTTTTTTTTTGCTGCCTCTAAAGTGTTTGACGAAATGCTTCTGTGGTGTTTCTGTTCCAGGCTACTTTAATAATGAGATCTTGTTCCTGACTGTATCCCATCTCCGAATGTACAACAACTAAGGCAATATATTTGGGGGTTTCTTTCAAGAAGCAAACTCAATGGGAGTTATGAGACTGGGATTTCCCTATTAGGTACACACATCACATAACTTTGTATATTTATGAACATGAAGAATAATTCAAGAAGCCTACTTGTATTTTATTCCACATTTCTTCTACCTTATTTGTAAAACAGCAGCTCCTTTGTAGATCATTGTTGAACTGGGAGTCGTTGGGGTTTCTCTTGTGGACCATAGACCAAAAGAGCTTGCGTACTTTTACCTGGAGAGGGTTTATGTATCTTATTCAACTGGTTATGATAGTGGGACCACAAGCAGGTTCAAGCTGATACTCGACCATCTAAAGCTTGACAACCAACTTCCTTTGACATATATGCATGTGCTTTTGGCACCTGAAGAAGCCTCTGATATGAATCACCCTGTTTTCAAAATGACAATTACAGCATGTTATGAGACCCCTGATGGTATCCAGGTCTACCCATACGTCTACATACGGGTAATCAGCGAGTCCCTGGTTGTCTTTAAACTTCCCTATATATATGGAAGGTAGTTCTGATACATAATAAAGTTTTGCTGTTAATATTATTGTAGGTAACTAACAAAATTTTGTTGATCCAGAGATCCGTGTCAAGTAATAAATCGTCTGTAATGACTTATTGTTAACAATACATGTAATATTAGGTTAGTTGTGGCTGTTCAAACAAAACGTTAACACCATCTTTTTCTTTTTTTACAGTCTAATAGATGTTTCAGAAGTCTGGCTAAAATTATCCTTGGCAACTGCATCTAGCTAGAACCTAGTTTGTTTTCAAATTTTGTTAATGGACTTTTATTTCAGATCAATATTGATGTGTATTCCAGATTTACAACAAGGTCTCATGCCTCCATTATCTGTTTTGCGATTTAGGTATGTTTAATTTTGTTTGATGTGGTCTCATAAGTCATATATTTAATTACAAGTTTGCCAAAAATAGCAACATGCCTTACTCTGGCTACTAGTATATACATAATGTGCTTTATTTTTTATTTTATAATAACATGTTTTTCTTTCTTTACTGATAATAAAAAAAAAAATATGTAACCTGAAACATTTGTTAATAAAAAGAAGAATATGAGAAATGAATGCAAGCATTTAACCCTGTTTAAAGATGATAACGTGTTTGACTTTTTTTTTTTTACCATCAAACACCTTTACCTTTTGCATGTGTGCAGTTAAGTGCAGATATGGAGAAGGCATTACTTCAACAAGTAATGAGTCTGACACCAGATCAAGTTAATAAGCTACCATCTGATCAAAGAAACCAAGTGCTTCAACTTCAGCAGATGTGGACATTGGACCAAACAAAGAGGAACGCGCCCTTCAATTTAAGGTATTTTCTATGCATTTTACCACTGTCATCATAGGGGCTGTTTCTTGTTTTATTTTTCATCAAGTCCTGTATGGGTAAAGTAGCTGAATCTGTAATGATGCTTATATGGATAAACTGATGTATACACAAGGTGTGTTTCTTTTTTCTAGACTGAATAAACCGTCTGAATGAGTCTAAATGACCAATTTACCCTTACATTCCAAAAAATACTATATTTATCAATTGGTGGTTTACGAATGGTAAAATTCAGATCACTGCAGTTTTAGTCTCTAACTTTTTAAGTGGGGGTGCGGGTACTTTATTTTTTGATATTTTGGATATATTGGGAGATTAGTCTTACAAATAGAACCACATCAATGTAACTACAAGTTCCAGAGAACTTAACTAAACCTCTTATTACAGATCTGCTTCCAAGTTTGTGGATTGGACTTTGAGTCGGGTTGTGAAAGCATCAGTGGCATTTAAAGTTAGTGGATGGAAATGTTTGAGGGATGTTACAATCAAGTTCGAAAAGGTGATTCATCTTTTGCTTTGTGTCACTATATCTGATTTAATCTTTACTCTACTTGATGCATGTACATTAACTTCTTTTGTGTTGGGCTAGTTTGTTATGGTCTTCTAACATACATCTAATTGTATTTCAATATCTTTTCTCCTACTAAGGCTGCTGTTTTTATTTTTTCATGTGAAAATATATTTTGTGGTTCATAAGCGATATGCACATGGAACTAGCCATGTTTAACTGGTTTAAATGCTCAAAATCAGCAATAGAGAGAGCAGTAAGTCCATTATCTGATATTCCTACGATCTCAAATGTTCGGCAGGATCTTACAAAGTGGCCAGAAATACATGATAAACTTGTTCTCTCAACTGTAAAGGTAACTTCCTAAATCATTTTGATAGCAGAGAATAACATCATGTGAAACGATACAAATAAACTAGCGACTTCATGTTTTTTTTACATATTGAAATTCCCTACCAGATACCTTATTTAAGAACATCAGGTTCTGCACGTAGATATGGTGTAAAATAAATTTAGGAAAAGATCACCACTAAAAATTCATAAAATTAATTTGGCTTACCAATAGTTATTGGTTCAGTTGAAGCAGAAACTGGACATCCTTTAGTTCCATCTTCTCTTATATGGGTATAAATGGCAACCAAAGAAACATTTTTATATATATTGATAGAAATTACAAAGTAATAGAAATTACATAATGGAAAAGAAATAAGACCTGGGCAAACAGGGGCAGTTTCGGAATATGATGGTTCACTCGATCTTCCAAGTATCTGTTATAATGCACTCACATTGAAGCAACTACCAATGTCATCAAATCGCAACTTATATGAACTGGAACATAGTGATTGTAATGGCTCAAAGGATTTTTTTCTCTTCAGTACAAATGTACCTGTGTCTTTTTATTTTTTTAGTACAGCATGATAAAATAAGTATTTAATATTTGCATCCAAGACATGACCTTAAGGATAAAGAATAATAATACCTCATTGGATTCAGATCCACATACTATATATCCATCAAGAACAGATAAGCCAACAAAGTTCTGAAATGAATCGGATTGACTGTTTTAGTAGTTTATGATTTTGTACCTGACTGTTATCAAGAAAAATGTAGAAAACAAGTTTTTTTTATGACATAATCTTTCACCATTGATGAGCCCGAGTCACTTGTATTAAAATTGGAAACTATTTGGTAGTTTACAACTTTGTCCCTAAACGTGATGTGTTTTCGTTAGGATTCCATGAAGAAGTTGCTATGAAGAGGAACAATTTTGATTGGGCATAGTATCATTCCATAATATGAGTGTTTCTTTTTTACTTAATTGAGAAAGTTGGACTTTTTACGAATTTGCCCTTGTGTAACTTTTGTATGCAGTATTGAAGACAGTTCACACAAGAGTAATTGACACCTCTCTTGTATTCAAATATTGGAGTGGCTCCAATTTCAGGTGACCATCTTTGAATGATTTGTGTAAGGCAAGTTTCAAATATCTAGTTGTAATATTTTGTTCCACCCAAAAACACGTAAATACCCTCATCATTTTCATTGTTGAAAATTGCCTTAAAAGGCTTATTCAGTCTTGTCTATTTTGAGCATTTCCTTAGTTTATAAAAATATTAGATTGTTTCTTCATTATATGAAGAAACTTGCAAAAAGAGATAAATACCCTCTTGTCTATTTTGCAGTTCCTCTGTCCTGGAAATAGGAAGCGATCTGGTGTACTCAATTGAACGCCTTTGCGAAGAGAATGATGCGGTTATTTTAGCAGTGGGGGCAACAAAGCCACGAGACCTCCCTGTTCCTGGACGCGAGCTCTCAAGTGTGCATTTTGCAATGGAATTTCCACATGCGAATAATAAAAGCTTATTGGATAGCAATCTTGAAGATGGAAACTATATGAGAGGAACCAAACGTAGTGCATTGTACTCTCATTTATTTTCTAACTATAACAATATACTTCCATTTTCTTAACAACAATGTACAATCGCATCCCCTTAGTCATTCAAATGATTATTTGTATGGCATTAAATTTATGCAATGGATTCTATTTTTTGTATATGATATTTTATTTTCTATTATGAAACATCAAATACAAATTTAATTTGAAAATAAGTAAATCTATAAATAATATTTTTTTTAAACATTTAAAATTATGATACGCAAAAATGTGTGTCATCTTCATTTATGACATGGCCTTTCTTGACAGGGGCTTTCTTGATACACAATGCGTGTCATTAACACGCGTGTCATCTTCCTTTATGACAGGGCCTTTCTTGATACTCATTGTGTGTCGTAAACGCGCGTCGTAATTGTGCGTCGTAAATGAGCGTCGTCTCTCTTTATGACAGGGCCTTCCTTGACGCGCATTTGCGCATCGTCTGAGCCTTTTACGATGCGCAATGAGCGTCGTAAAAGGTTGTTTTTCTAGTAGTAGCAACATCGTTACAATACATGGTATAACTAAACACTTATTCAACTTACTTTGAACTAAGTGTATTATATAAGTCTTAATTTATAACTAGACACTACAACAATACATGTAATCAACTTCCAATACAACTTCTCATTCATAAAATACTTATCATAAATACAAGTATACATTTAGCACAAAATTCAACCAATAAGTATTTGGTATATACTTAATATCTTCAAGAAATAATACTTATATTAAGATTGTTGCGTAGTATTATCAAAAATACTTTTAACACATATATAGACATATTTGGATCGTATTGTGTATGTTATGCAGTACACCAACATATTCCAGATAATAAGCATTTAATTCACATATAAACTTTCAACTGATATTAAATACTTTTATTAAAATCATGCTTACAACAGTAACTACGGTGCTATTTGTTTTTTCGAAACGAAAATTCATGAAGTCAGCGGACCACCTCTTCAACTATCTGCAGCAGAAGAGGTGGACCAAACGACTGCATTCTATAATAAGAAGCATGCTTGTTTTTTAACGTTTGCAGACTGCTGCAATAAACTGAAATTTAAATAAACTGAAAATAGTTCTTAACATTGAAATTTAATAATTTTATTCTTAAAACATTGAAAGAATACTAAAAATAACATGTAAATATATATATATATATATATATATATATATATATATATATATATATATATATATATATATATAGTTTCTAAAAAAATATAAAAGAAGCTATTCGTTTTATGTAAAAAAACTAATTTTAAAAAACATAAAACAGAAAATAATAATAAAAAATATTGCAAACAATGTCTGCAAAGTTCATAAAAAATTATACAAGTTAAAAAACTATTAACAGAAACGACAAAAAAATCAAAAAAAAAAAAATCAAAGTTTTTTTTTTTAAATCAAGGAGGTCAAGTTCTAAAAGGGGCTAGCCAACATGGTCGTCATACAGAAGAAGAATGGAAAATAAAGAGTATGTGTGGACTATATAGATCTAAACATGGCTTGCCCTAAGGATCCTTTCCTCCTGCAACACACAGTGTAACGCCCAGATTTTTCACACCAGGTATACCTGAAAATAGATTCCATAATTATAAAAAAATTTACAAAACATTTCGGTATACACTAGCACGCTCAAAAACAAGAAGTTATCACAAGGATCGTGCCGGCAATAAGCACAGGATCAAGTCGGGCGCTACAATCTGTAACCTGCAAAACATTCACAAACAAACAACATAAGCCTCATGGATTATTGAATAACAACTATAATAAAATAAACACATAATCCAATTAACAAATAATCCATCAAGCAAATATATTCACAATATCTACTAAGAGATCTAACAAAAATCCTTTTTGCATAATAATCCCATGCTAGTAAAGCACTAAGCCCAAACCTGCCAAATGATACTATCTCTAATCTGAGATAAATATAAACTAATATATATATATCAATATTTCATTCTAACCAATTATCTAATCAAATACTATATCTCCAATCCGAGCTAACATATTCAAATAATTATGCGATCCTGAGGTACCATATAATGTCATAATAATAACCAATACATTTACCAAAATATACAGGTACCAAAAACAACGGATGTTAGAGTGGTGTTACTCACATGGTCAGTTGGTTACTACTTCGGCACTTGACCTATACAACCTTCCCATCTATCACATACTGATACCTAAGCAACAATTTCCAAGTTCCTTAGAACCTGTTATAATTTACCCTTAACTACACCCTATGGCTATTTGTCACCAAGCTCATTAATACAATAATATAAGAACACTAGGCTTAACCCCATAAGCCAATAACCAAATCTACCATTTCGGACCATTTCAATAAATTAGGGTTTATAACCCTGACAGTACCAACTAACTATTTTACCGTGAGATTTACTTACAAATCTCACCAATAGGTCCGCAACAGCACCATATCACGGATACGAGTATGTATGCATAGCATATACTCAAATCTATCAAATCCCAACAATAACGACGTCTAAAATAATTACATAATAACAGGGTAAACTATACCTCCGCGAGCCTCGTATGTCTCGTATATTATCACAAATCACTTTATACGATCTCCCATAACCGAATCCTGGCAACGCTTCTCTTACATGCACCATGAGCATCTAAATGACACTAAAACACCTATTTTATACTTTTCAATCTCTCACGCCATGAACATTATAAGCTCACATCATGAGTAGTGTCTAGACAATGTCCTGCCACGAGTCACACTCTCCTGCCATGTGTCTCGTCGATTCATCAAATCTCACGACAATTAATTGTTGAAGTCGTAAGAGTCAATTGTCATGTCGTGACGATCATGTTTCACATTTTAGTGGTCAAATGTTGACCTTTGACTTGACTTCAGTTGTGACATCCCCAATTTCACGGCCTGAACAAACCGATTTGTGTATGGTTTGTTTTATAATCAGAGTAATCTTTTAAAGAAAACAGTTGCGGAATTTGTTCCCAAAACAAAATATGATAAGAATTTATCAAAACATTTCTTTAAAGAAATGTATTTTCATTATATAACAAAATCTCGGGATGTCATGTTCAATACAGACCAAAGCATAAACAGAACAAAATAGACCTCACAATAGTTATTCATAACTACTGGCCTATAATCCAAAATCTCTCGTTATGTCAGCCAACTTATGCTCTCGTTCCATAACCTGTAATACAAAGAAAACTGAGAGGGTCAGGCTTGGGAGCCTGGTGAGCATATAGGGTTTTCATCCCACAACTTCTTCATTAGAAATTCATAACTTCTTCATACGACGTCCGTTTTCGTCTGTATTTTTATAGTTGGACTACTATCGATGAGATCTTCGATTCTCGTTTAAATTGTTTCGGCTAAAAATCACTCGATCTCATCTTCAAGTATTCAGGTTGCATACCGCTAAGTCGAAACTTCGGAAAATCATAACTTCCTCATACAAACTCAGATTTGGACGTTCTTTTTATACACGCTCTCGACTTAACATATTCTACAAAAAAAATTTAGATCACTAAGGCTAGATATCTCTCTATCTTAAATTCATATTTTACGTCATTCAGCGTTCTGTAGTGAAACTTTGACAGGTCATAACTTCTTCGTTGTAACTCGGATTTCAGCGTTCTTTATATGTACGGAATCCTTGTAACATATACTACAACTTAGTTAAGATTATTCATTCTAAATAATCTTCTATAAAAAAGTCTTTTTTGATGCTTATCGTCTCTAAATTGACTAACCCTGATTTGCTGGCGTTACAATTATCTCCCCCTTAGGATGATTACGTCCCGAAACACATAAGGTTTCCTGATCCGGTCGGTAACAGACCATAGATCCGAACAATTAATATCATATATGTCAACATATAACATTTAGCACATAAAAGCATTTTAGGCGTCATCCCTAAAATAAACTAGTGCTTGCGTCCATTTAGGTGTACTACCTAACATATTTTAGACACCCTCCTCACGATTATTATTTAGTATTCTACGTTTAAGTCTAGAAATTTCCTACAACTTCCTAGTTCGCTTAAACTAATGCTCTGATACCAACTGTAACATCCCCAATTTCACGGCTATAAAAGACTGATTTGTTTATGCTTTGTTTTTTAAATCAGAGTAATCTTTTAAAGAAAACAGTTGCAGAATTTGTTCCCAAAACAAAATATGATAAGAATTTATCAAAGCATTTCTTTAAAGAAATGTATTTTCATTATATAACAAAATCTCGGGATGTCATGTTCAATACAGAACAAAAGCATAAACAGAACAAAATAGACCTTACAACAGTTATTCATAAAACTGGCCTATAATCCAAAATCTCTTGTTATGTCAGCCATCTTATGCTCTCATGCCATAACTTGTAATACAAAGAAAACTGAGAGGGTCAGGCTTGAGAGCCTGGTGAGCATATAGGGTTTTCATCCCACAATGTTATATCATATATTTATATAAACAGAACATTCAAACTTGTACAGTTTCACCATATAAAGGCAACTCTTATCCCACCCCATCGATCCTCACAACGACATGATCTAAACTCTCGTATCTAAAATTTTCCTCTTTACCTGATCCATACTCACGGATCTAAAACTATCCTCTTCACCTGATCCATACTCACGGATTTAAAACTAACCTTTTCACCTGATCCATACTCCCAGATCTAAAACTACTTGATCCATACTCATGGATTTAAAACTAACCTCTTGATCTGATCCATACTCCTGGATCAATAATTTTACCCAATCCATACTCCTGGAATATGAACAATTAACTATACCTTAATCCTGATCTGATCCATACTCCCGGATCAATAACTGTGCCCAATCCATACTCCCGGACTAGGGACAATTAACTTAGTCTTAATCCATATATGATCCATACTCCCAGATCTATAACTGTGCCCAATCCATACTCCTGGACTAGGGACAATTAACTTAGTCTTAATCCATACTCCCAGACTAATAGCAAGTTTATCTCTTTACCTGATCCATACTCCCGGATCTAA